GTGGGGGGGGGTGCAGTGAGTGGAGTGGTGGTCCTGGGGTGGTGGGATGTGGATGGGTGCCACGACAGTACCCCCAGAATCTCCAGTGCCCCCAGCATCTCTGGTACCACCCAGTGTCTCCCGTGCACAGCAGAAGTGGGGAAAGAGCAAGTATTTGCAGTGTCACATAAAGGCTGCAGCTTTCCAAACCTCTCCCCCCCAAGGTGGTGCCAGTGCCCTCTGGGGGGGACGTTTTCCTATGATTCTGCCCCTTCTCAAAGCATCTCCCTGGGCTGGGGGAGCTCTGCTGGTGGCTCCTTCCCCGCTTTCCCCATCCCTGCCCCCTCCCCTGCAGGAGGGCATCCAGCCCTAAGGACATGGTGGTGGCTTGGGAGGTCCTGGGGGGCACGGGCAGCTCCTGGGGTGGTGGGGTTTGGGCAGCCCTGGGGGGAGCAGTGGGGAGGTGGACAACAGCCATCCCCAAGTGGTTCCATGCCTTGTGCACCCCAAAGCAGGGCTGACCCCATGGGGTCAGGGCTGTTTGTGGCCCCAACACCCTGCAGCACCCCCAGCCCGGTCCCGAGGAAGCTTCCCCCCCAGTACCCCGGGTCGTTGCTCCCTGGGGATGATCTCTCACATGGGGCAGCTGGTTTGGTTGCAAAAGCAGGGGTTAGTGGCCCCTCTGGACCACGTGCCCCGAGGATGCTGGCAGGGAGCTGGGCATCCCAGCACTGAGCTCGGGGACCGCCCGGGGCTGGTGGCAGAGACAGGAGGTGGCTCAAAGCTGCCCAAGCACTTCATGGTAGTCACCAAAAAACTGCTACAGAGCTTTTCTCTTTGAGCCCGGGTTTGCAGCTGTTAAAGGAGATTGTGTAGCCCTGAGGGGCAAAAGCTGCCTCCAGGCCAGTCCATGGGGCTGTCAGAGCCCTGGGGACTGCAGCATCCCCACTGCCCAGGGCTGAGATGAGCTAAAACTGGCTGGGCAGAGCCAAGGGGAGGGAATCACAGTCCAGCAGGAGCTGTGCCCACACCATGTCTGCCACTCGCTGGGGTATGCAAGGGGCTGGGATATGTGGGACAGGGGGCACATACCCTGTGGGGCAGGTCCTTGGGGGTCCTGGGCTGGGGACCCCTATGAATTAGCCCAGGAAGATGGGGAGGGCAGTGGCTGGACCCCTCTGAGGTGCTGCAGTTGGAGGCACAAGGCATGGAGAAGGACGGTGGCAGGGCTGGGAGGGTTGTAGGCACTTCTCACAAACCTCACTCACCAAAACCTGTCTGTGGCGTGACAAGATTTCTTTCAGAGCCACACGGTCACCTGTGGCCCCTGCAGCCCCACGAGGCCCCATCACCCACAGCTGGGACAACTGCAGACTGTGGGGACCAGCCCCTTGGAGTCTCACTGCCTCTGGCGGCAATATCCTGGTGGAGGTGACACTGCATGTGGCTGTTGTGGGGCTGGGGGGCATCCAGAGGTGCCGTCGGGGGGGCTGCAGTGTGTCACCAGGGCTGGCAGCACATCTGCTGTGGGACCTCCAAGAAATGCTGAGTGCAGAAGAGAGCTGCTCTGGGCCACATTAACGCTGCGTGACTCTGCTGTGGGACCTCCAAGAAATGCTGAGTGCAGAAGAGAGCTGCTCTGGGCCACGTTAATGCTGCATGACACTTGCTGGGGTGATGAGAGGGGGTTCCTGCTCTTCTGAGGGGTGAGAGGGGGCTGTGGGTGCTGCCCAGCACCCATGGGGGCTGGTAGCCGTGTTGTCATGTGTCCCCCTCGCTGGGAAAGTCACTTTGTGGCAGCCAAAATCATCCCACAGCCCTGATGTGTGTCCCTTGGTCCTGGCAGTGAGATGCCAGAGAAGGGGTTTTGCTTCTGCCCTTAACCCTCAGCCCGTCCCTGGGGGGAGCGAGGGGGGTGCTACCCACGCTGGGCACAGCCTGGTTATGGGGACACATCCCAGTTATGGGGACACATCCCAGTTATGGGGACACATCCCAGACTGTAAGGCCCCTGCTGCCAGCCTCGGCTTTGTCCTGGTGGCATGGAGGGACCTCCGTGCTGCCGTTCCTGCTGGGACACTTCTGGGACCCCAAAAGGGAGGGGGATAACAGGGAGGACCCCAACACCCGGCACCCGGCTGTGTTCAGGCTGAGGATGCTGCCCCTCTTCGTCGCCCCACCAGGACCAGACCCTGCCCTTGCCCATCCCTGGAGCCCTGGGTTGGCCATGGGACGGGGCTCCCGTGGTGTCCCCAGCCCCAGGACCATCGTGGGGTGTCTCCGTGGCAGCTCCAGCAGCGGGTGCTCCCTCTCTGGGGACGCAGACGGGCAAAGCCAGAGGTTCACCAGTTATTGGAAGGCCGGTTTTATCGCGCATGGAAAGAGCCAACTTCAGCAGTTTTGGGCAGTCCCGGCAGCGGGGCTGGGCTGTCGGAGGGATAAAGTCTCTGGCTCCAAAACTCCTGAAGCAGGGCTGGCGGGGGCTTTGTTTGCAAGGGCCAGTCTGGGTCTTGGCATGCATTCGGCTGATGCAGGCAAACTCCAAATCTCCTTGCCAACAAACCCAACAAAGCGGGCGACCCGAATGTGAAAGCTAATGAAATAACTCCCCGACTTGGTGTTTGGGGAGACAAAGGCTGCAGCCGATCAGCTGACCTCGGTTTTCATTGGGTTTTAATCCGGCATTCTCCCTTTGAATCATGCTTTAACTATTTTGTAAATAGTTTTGGCACCGTTCTTCTGCGGCTCGGTATAAATTCCACCTCTCGGCCCCAGCCCTTCACTGGCTCAAGCGGGTACTGGTGTAACTGGTAAGACTTTTCTATTTATCGCCCTCTTTTTTGCCTCCTCCCGACCCCCGGTGCCCGTGCTCCGTCCCGTGGTGCCGGGCAGAGGTGCGGAGGTGGCAAGCGGGGTGCGGGCACTCAGGGGGTGAGCCGTGGGGGACAGTCCTCTCCCTACAGCCCAAACCGGGTGGCCAGCTGAGGAGTATTACCACCTGGCCATGGCCCAGGTGTTTTTAATTGGGAATGAGCCGTTTTCACCTGGGTTGGAGCCTGCTGGGACAGGGGAGTCTCGTTGGGCTTGAGGATGAGGGTTCTTTGTAGAGGAGACCCTGCACGTGCACTTGCATGGCCAGGGCTGGTGGTAGGAGCCCTGGTGCTTCTCCCCATCACCACCAGCATGGGACAGGGGCTTCTCAGCTGTCACTTGCTGAGCAGGGACAGAAGGAAAAACCTCGGCCACGGGGGCTGGACTCCCCCAGGAAGGATCCCTGCGTTTGTGGATCCCCTCACTCTGGGCTGGAGACCCTTTGTAGGTGCCATCATGGGTGATGCCGTGCTGGCTCCGTTACTTGGGCTCCTCGTTGGCTTGAGCCTGGGGAGGTTTTCTCCACGAGCAAGTGGTGCCAAGCAGCCCTGAGCAGGAACTGGTCCCAGCACACCCCATCTGTGCCCACCCGGCCACAATCCCAAGCCCCAGCACCCCTTTCCGTGCAACTCAGCAGCAAGGACCAAGCCCTGGGTGGGCTGTGGGGTGTGGACGTGGGACATGGGATGTGGGGTGGTGAGCACAGCGCTGGGCACATCCTCGGTGGCAGATTTTAACCTTCTGAGTTTTCCTCCCAGGGCAGCAGACAACCCAACCTATGATGGCTTCCGAGCACCAAATGCCAGCCTCCAAGCAAGCCAGCTCCAAGGTCAGTGTGTGGCTTCTCCTCTGCTCTGCGGTGGGGCCAGGGCACCCCCAAGTCTCACTCAGCACCCAAATCTCATCCTCCCGGGATGTCCTGGGACCCCGGCTGGGCTGGGAGCAGCTGAGCTGCCACCACGCAGCCCCTGGCCACCACCCCTTGGTGCTCCTGGCTGGTGCTGAGCATCGCCGCTGCGGCGCTGAGCCCTTCGCAGAGGGATGGGGGGTGGGAGATGCTCGGGATTTTGCCGGCATCCCCCGGTGCAGGTGGATGGGGTGGGAACGGATCAACTTCTGATCTCCTGGCGCTGCTGCAGACGCAGCAGATCTGTCCCCTGCCGCCCCGCTGACCCATGAAATCCCTGCTGAGCTGGCGGCGCTCGGTCCCCAGGGCTGCCCTGGTGCCTCCCCCCGTGTGTGCTGGGTGTCCTGCTCCCTGTGTCCGGCCAGGATGCTCCAGCTGGAGCCACTCAGCTTTTTGAAGCCTGGTGTGAGCGCAGGCATCCCACTCCGAGCACCACCAGGGTGCTGGGCTGGCGCCACAGGGACACATAGACCCCCCAGACCTGCCCACTCAGAGGGATGGAAGCGTTAGTTCAAGCTCGTGGGTTGGTTAAAAGCCACCGGCAGGCAGGTTTTGGGGGGCAGCATGGGGTCTGGATGGCAGCAGGCGTGCTGAGCTGGTGACTGGGGACAGTGTGTGCCCCCACCTCGCAGTGAGCCCCGCTCTGAGGCCCCCACTCCCTTCCAGATTGCCATCTTCGAGCAGGAGAACTTCCAGGGCCGTTGCCATGAGCTCAGCGGTGCCTGCCCCAACCTGAAGGAAGCCGGCGTGGACAAAGTGGGCTCCATCCTCGTGCACTCTGGACCGTACGTGTGGGAAGGTCTTTGGGGAGGGGATGCTGTGGCGGTGTGGGGTGACTGGGACGTGGAGGGGGTGTCCCCACTGCTGGCACCTGCACCGTACCCTGGATTTCACGCAGCCAACGTTGCTGTGCTGCTTCCCCACCTCGTCCCGGTGGGTGCCCGGTGCCAGGGGGTGAGCAGGGGGTGACAGTGTCTCCTGGGCAGGCTGGTGTCCCCCAACCCTGCTCGGTGGAAGGGGAGCTGGAGGGGTGTGGGCATGGACATGGATCATGGTGTTACCCCCAGTTTGGTGCCTTTCTTTTGGGGTGCAGGTGGAGATGGCACCCCTTGGTGGCACCTCCTTTCCCCATCCTGATCCTTTGTGTGCTCCCAGAGAGCACAGCTCCCCAGACTGGGAGCTGTGAGAGTCAGGGAGCTCCCAAAAAGTGCCTGGGGATGCTCCGGGGTGGGTTTTCTGCCTGTGGCCAGCGGTGTGCTGCACCCAGGAACAGGAGGGCAGGAGCACAGCCCCATCAGGGATGTGTGGGTGATCCCATCCTTCTCAGAGTCCCCGGGGACCAGGGATGGGTGGCCACCACATCTGATCATCCACACTGACAACGTTGGTGCTTCTGTGGTGTGGTTGCCAGCAGAGCTGTGGGACTGGCCGTGCCGTAGGCCAGGGGCATCACTCTGCAGGCAGGGCTGCCCTCTCCCACCCTGGTGGCACCACTGCTGGCACCTCACTGGGCACCACGGGGCTCGTTTCCATTTTCCACCAGCGAGCAGAGGGGTCTGTGCTCTGTTGGGGGACACGGCCGGGGGGCTTTTGCCGGGGTGGGTGCCTGGGTGCTGCTGCTGCTGCTGCTGCCACCCCGTCTGAGGCTCGTCCCCCTGCTCTCTTCCAGCTGGGTGGGCTACGAGCAGGCAAGCTGCAAAGGGGAGCAGTTTGTGTTTGAGAAGGGGGAGTACCCCCGCTGGGACTCCTGGACCAACAGCCGGAGAAGCGACAGCATCACTTCCCTGAGACCCATCAAAGTGGTGAGAGCACCCAGACAGCCACTACCCACCCGCCAGACCAAGGTCTGCAGCCAGAAGTCTCGCCCAGCCTTCCCCCGGAGGGAGCGTGGGGGACGGGGGCAGTGGTAGGTGACCCCAGAGCAGAGGACGTCTGCTGGTAAGTCTGGCAGTGCCCACCCAGGCGCCGGCTCCCGGAGCTGGATGCGGGGATGCAGAACAACCCCCCCCCACCCTGGCATCGGTGGGGGTGGTGGCACACGGTGCCAGCCCCTCACCTCGGTTTCCCCATAGCCCTGGGCTTTGCCCCCCTCCCCCCCTTCCCTCCCAGCCCTGGGTACCGGCTGCCGCTGACGCCCCGTCTCTGCTCTCCCCGCTGCAGGACAGCCAGGAGCACAAGATCGTGCTGTACGAGAACCCCAGCTTCACCGGCAAGAAGATCGAGATCATCGACGACGACGTGCCCAGCTTCCATGCGCATGGCTACCAGGAGAAGGTCTCCTCCGTGCGGGTGCAGAGCGGCACGTGAGTACCAGGGGTGGGTGGTGGGACCTGCCTGATTTCGGAGCATCCCGCGGCGGCTGAGCATCCTCAGCCCGTGGGTGATGGTGTGTGACCCCCCCCTCTCTCCCTGTTTGCCTTGGTAGGTGGGTGGGCTACCAGTACCCTGGCTACAGGGGCTACCAGTACCTGTTTGAAAAGGGGGACTACAAGGACAGCTCAGATTTCGGCGCCCAGCACCCCCAGATCCAGTCGGTCAGGCGCATCCGGGACATGCAGTGGCACCAGCGTGGCGCCTACCACCCCACCAACTAGAGCCCCTGGCCCACGCCGGGGTGCGGGGAGCGGAGCAAGCTTTCCCCTGGCCGCCGCTGAACCCCCCCTCTGCGGCCTCGACGCCCGTCTCCCCCCCCGTGTGATGCACGCCGCTGCTGAAGCAACTGAATAAAGCTTGGAGTTTCAAAGTGCTGGCTCTGACCCTTCCATTCCTGGGGGGTATGGGAGGGGGGGTGGCACAGAGGTACCCCCCACCAAGGGGGTGACTGTCCTGACTCCGTGCTCCTGGGTGGGGAGGGGGGGGCCGTTGTTGCTACCCCAATGCTCTCAGTGCCACCCCCTCATCACCAGTGCCATGCTGGTGCTGATAGGCCACCAAACTGGAGGTGAGCTGGGGGTTCAGCAGGAGGGATGGGAGATCATAGAATCTTAGACTGGTCAAGGTTGGAAGAGACCTTTCAGAGTCATCTAGGTTGGAAAAGACCCTTGGGATCATTGAGTCCAACCATCTACCCTACCCTACAAAGTTCTCCCCTGCACCACATCCCCCAACACCACATCTAAACAACTCTTAAACTCATCCAAGGAGATGCTCACCTCCTCCACAGCCACCACCCCTGGAGGGGTCTGGTATGACCATGATGGCTGGGGGGCTCAGCCCTGTCCTGCGGGGGGCATGGCCAAGGGTGAGCAGCTCCTCCACAGCCACACAGGAGTGTCCCCAAAGCACTGTGGTGGGGCAGGGTGGGTGCGCTGAAGGCTGGAGGGGGGTTACCCTCCTGGCCAGGACACCTTTAAGCTAAATAATTGCTTTAATTATTAAGCATGATAACCAATAATCAGCAATAATGCTTTATTTCAGCATTAATAATGCTGAATAACGCTTTATTTACTCTCATAGATGGGGACATGGAGCTGTGGAACATCTGCCCGGGGCTCAGCAGGATGGTGGTGGTGGAAGCTGCTGGGCTGTCCCTGTCCCCTCCACTGGCAGGACATGGCCACGGTGACAGTGGCTTGGTGGGGTGGGGGGCTGCGGGAGTCTGGGGGGCTGCAGAGGTTGGGGGGCAGCTTCCCAGCCCTGGTGATGGGCATCTGATGGGATACTCCAGAAAACTCTGCTCTAGCTCCTGCCGTGCTCCTCTCCTGGGGAGAAGGGACCTTCCTGGAGCTCCTTGACCACAGTGTTTTGGTGTGAACACCAGCAAAACCGGGAATTGCAGGGAGGTGGGGATGCACCCCCCTTCCCTCCATCGGCAGCTGGTGGTTTTGCCCCCCCGAATCCCCCATGTTTGGTTTGTGCTGCACTGGGGATGAGTGAGCCCGGCACAAATCCCCGGGTTTGGCAGAGCCCAGCTCCGCCGGGCGAGCATCCCAATTAATCATTTGCCAAACGCTGCTATGAAATGTCAGCTCCCGAGCGAGTCGTGCTTCGGCAGCACCGAGGAAACCTGTGCATCCCCCTCCACGGGGAAAACTTGGGAGGATCCCAGACCTGAACATCTCTGGTGAAAAACGAGGGTTTAAAATCAGACTTGGTACTTCCCCAGTTCTGTGCTAGCTGAGGTCTGATACATTTGTGCCTAAATAATATTAGCAACCTCGTCAGAAATGCCTAAGGAGCCCCAACTTCCCTTTCAAAAGCATTTAATTCATACAGGAGCAACAATTTAATAGAGATCAATTCACTTAGGCTACCGAGTGCACCAAGTCACTTTTGAAAATAAGCCCCAGCCTCTAAGGTCACGTAAGTGCTTTTGAAAACTCTACACGCCGGCTCAAGTTCACTTTAATTGTATTGATAATAGAGCTCGGGCTGAATCAGGATTCCTGGGAATGACGTGTATCCAAACAGAGATCCCGGTTTCATTGTGAGATCCCAGGTGAGGCTTGCAGAGCCGGCAGGGTGGAGAGAGGAGCTTTTCATTGATCATATGTGATCTGTAGGTAACTGAGACCTACAAATGAGGTCTCAGTTGTAGGGTTTGTAGTTGTAGGAAAAATGAGGGTTTAGGGGAAGTAGTGACACACACACACACACCCCCACCCCCTGCTGCTGATGGGTGAGTTCTGCCTCCTCTGGGCACCTGGCTGTGAATTGTTAGTGAGAAACAGCATCTTCTGGGGGTGCAAACTGCTAAAATCAGCAGCGAGGTGGGGAGCAGAGACCTGGGGCAGCCCCCTTGGGGACCGCAGAGCCCGGGGTGTGAGCGTGGGGGGAGTCCTGGGGGGAAAAGCACTGAAAGCAGAAGAGGAAAATGTGAATGAGCCCAGATGCAGCTCGTCTGGGGCTTGTCGGGGGAATTTCCCCATCTGGTGGCTGGTTGCACTCAGGTGGGTGCCCTCAGGTCACCTCGATGCAGCTTCAGCTCTGCTGGGGTGGGTTTTTCCAGGCTCTGACCTCAGGCTGCTCCTCTGGGGCATTAGGGGCCACCTTACAGCCCTGGGTGCCCATGACAAGGGGATTTGGTGATGTCCTGACCCCTACCCTGAGGTCCTGGCTGGTGGCATCACCTCCCCAGGGTGACACTCCTCGTTGCTGGCCCCAACCTTTCGTGGCCTGAGCCTGAGATGGGAGGAAACAGAGTGGCTGTGGCATGAGCAGGACCTGACCCCCAGGTGGGTACCTTGCACCCATGGGTGGGCTGCACCGCGCTTGCTGTGGGGTGATGGCAGAGCACTGGAGTGGGTGGTTTCTGCAGGGGGTTGTGTAGGAGGAGACATGTTTTCCTGACCAAGCGTGTGGCAGCTGCTCCCATGCTGTCTCACAGTTGCTCAGTGGTGGCCCCATCCCCAGAACCTGCCCTCGCTGAAGGAAGTCACAGGGTCAAGGAGATGTTCCAAGGGCTGGAGCCCCTCTGCTGTGAGGGGGGGGGCTGAGAAGGTTCGGGGGGTTCAGCCTGGAGAAGAGAAGGCTTGGGGAGACCTTAAAGCCCCTTTCAGTCCCTAAAGGGGTTCCAGGAGAGATGGGGAGGGACTCTTGGTCAGGGAGGGGAGCCACAGGACAAGGGGGAATGGTTTTAAACTGAAAGAGGGGAGATTTAGATTGGATATTAGGAAGAACTTGTTTGGTGTGAGGGTGGTGAGAGCCTGGCCCAGGTTGCCCAGAGAAGCTGTGGCTGCCCCATCCCTGGAGGGGTTCAAGGCCAGGTTGGAGGGGGCTTGGAGCAACCTGGTGTGGTGGGAGGTGTCCCTGCCCAGGGCAGAGCACCACGTTCCCCCCTCCCCATCTTGCCCCCAGCTGCTCATGGAGGGACCCTGAGCTGCAGGGATGGCTCTGTCACTCCCTGTGCTACCGGGCACCGTGGCTGCCAGCTGGGACTGAGCACGGACGTGCTGCTGGTGGATCCCCAGCTCCCCTCCCGGGTGGCAGCGGCGTTATTCCCTGGTCAGGATCCCAGCATCGCTGCTGCTCCCGACTGCTACGGGCAGGGATAGCTCCGGAGAGAGCCACTTTCCCCATCTGGCAACGTTTTTAAGCAGACATGGATAACAAATGTGAAGCCATCTGCCCAGGCAGGGTGGGCAGATCTCCCAGTCTTCCCAGAGGCAGGGTCTTGGCCGAGAGAGAGGCAAAGAGCAGGGTCTGGTCTGGGGAAGGCGAGCAGACCCTCGCTGGGGGGTGACAGCCCGTCCCTGTGGTCCCCAGGGCAGAGCCAGGTGTCACATCCCCCTGTGCCAAACACCGAGGTGGGAGATGTCAGACAGGGGTGTGTGGTCAGGATGGCATGGCCAGGCACTGCACCCTTTGCTGGTGTCCCAGCCATGGAACCCACCCCTGCTCCTGGTAGGGGGGCAGAAGACAGGGCACCCCCTTATCCCCTGACCCCACACGGGGTGGCTGTGCCATGGGGGCAGGGAAAACCAGGGTTCAGCTCTTGGGGAGCAAAGCTGAGGCACTGCTGTCAGCTCCTCTCGTGTTTTCTCCTCTTCTCTCATTTTTCAGCCCCTTATGGCTTTCCCAGAGGTTTGGATCCCCCACCCAGGAGCGTGGGGCTGGAGAAGGCAGCGTGGGCTGCTCGCTCCGGCTGCGTGTCCTCCTCTGGGATGTTTCCTCCTTCCACCTCCCCTTTCCCTTTTGGAAAAACTGTAGAAATGGCAGGACGTGGTGGGGGGAGCAGGAATTGGAGGCTCAGAGGCTGTTTAGCTCAGGAAAACAGCCAAGTAGCAAGAGGCAGTGATTGGCACTTGAAGCTGCACAACCCGAACTGAGGAGCGAGGGCTGGGTTCGAGGGTGAAGGTGATTCATCTGGGTGAGAAGCATCCTTGGCTTTTGGGGGGATTGGAAACGTGCCCACCGATCCCAGGATTTTGGGAGATGTGGTCACCCCAAATGCATAGCTCCTCAGCGCGGCTGAGCAGACGCCGTCACTGGCTCGGAGAGAAACATGCTGGGAAATTTTATTTTTTTTTTTTACAATTTTTTCAATTTAAAAAATCAAAAAAAAAAATTATTCAAAGGCACAAGATCGCCTCCGTCCCACGCGAGCTGGGGAGGTGCCATCTGGCAATGCTGGTCTCCTGCCACTTGCCACCCATGCCCCCCCC